CAATGGATGAACGGATAATAAAAATGTGGTATACATACACAATGAGATATTATTCAGCATTAAAAAAATAAGTAAATCCTGCCATTTGAGACAACATGGGCAATCCTGGAAGACGTCATGCTAACTGACATTATGGTGGCTTCAGACAGCAAAATAAACCCTGCATGATCTCACTTACATGTGAAATCTAAAAAAGTCAAACTATGAAAATAGAAAGTAGAACAGTGGTTACCGGGGGTTCAGGGGATGGGGAAAATGGGGAGATGTTGGTCAAAGGGTATAAACTTATATCTATAAGATGAATAACTTCTGGAGACCTAATGTATAGCATGGGAACTATTGTTGATAATAATGTAATATATACTTGAAATTTACTGAGAGTGGATCTTAAGTATTCTCATCATGAAGAAAAAGAAAAGGTAACTATGTGAGGTGATAGATGTGTGATTTAGCTTGATTGTGGCAATCTTTTCACAATGTATATGTATATCAAAACATTGCATTGTATATCTTGAACATATACAATATTTACTTGTCAATTATACCTCAATAATGTTGAAAGAAAATGAGATTAGAGTTTTTCAGATAAACAGGAAGAAATAAAGAGCACTGGAAATGGTAAATATGTAATTAAACATGAAAGAACATACATATATTTTTATTCTTTGAAAAAATATAAAATTGTTTAAAGCAATAATTGCAACACTGTTGTTTTATAACCTAGATTTTATATACATATACAATTTCTGCCTTTTTATTGGAATGGTTAATTTAGCCCATCATATATATATATAGTATATTCATAGTAATGGTTTATTTAGTCCATATATACATGAAGGAATGGGTAAGAAATGGAGCGATATTGGGACAAAGTTGCTATATTTTATCAGAATTAAGTTAGTATTAACCTAAAGGAGACTGTGGTAACTTAAAGATGTATACTGTTATCCTTACAGCAAGCACTAGAGGAAAATTAAAAATGTAGCTAAGAAAAGGAAAAGAGGATTAAGATGGTGTAGTGGATTGAGTTATGTCCTCCCAAAACTCACTGAAGCTTGAATTTTGTCTCCCAAGTTTTGTGTTTTAGAAATTTAGTCCCCACTGTGACTGTTAAGAGGGTGGGAAATCCTATTATGATAATTGAAAGGTGGAGCCTTGAAGAGGTGATTACATTATAGGACCACTGCCATAGTGAATGGATTAAAAATGGTGATCAGGGGTGTGGTTCTGAGGGCTTTAAGAGAAAAGAGAGGAGAGTCTCTCTTTGCTTCAACCATCTTGCAATGTGAGACCCCTGGGTCACTGTCACCAACACCAGATGGACTTTGGACTTCCCAGCCTCAGTAACTGTAAGCAGTAAATTTCATTTCCTTTATAAATCACCCAATTCCATGTATTTTGTTATAATCAACAGAAACAGACTAATATAAATGGTATACTAAAATTATTTGTTCTACAAAAAAGGCAGCAGAAAATGAGGAACAGAAGAACAAAAAATGCACGAGACAAACAACAAAGAGCAAAACAATAAATGTAAATATAACCACATCAATAATCACATTTATATGAATGGACTAAATAAACCATTCCAATAAAAAGGCAGAGACTGTCAACCATGCATTCTCATGCAGTTTCGAAGAATCTCCCTTTCATGCATGTTTTGGGGAGTACTAGAGACATTATTAATGGAAGTAAACCAAGAAAGAAAAATAAATGGCATCCAAGAAACAGGGGGTCCAAAATGTAAAAGGCAAAGGAAATTTGGAAGATGGTGCTAAATGTTCCAGGCTGTCTAGTTAGCTCACTGGGTTACAGCATAGTGCTAACACCACCAAGGTCAAGGGTTCAGATCCCCTTACCGGCCAGCACCAAAAAAAAAGTGCTGACTCACTTGAATGATGCTAAATGCATCAGGATAACATACAACCAGTTCAGTTTTGGAACAGGAGGAGAGAAGGCTCTGAAAAAGAGGTCTCTGGGAATAAAATGAAACTGATAGGCTATCTGATGTTAAAATGTCTACAATTTAATTTGATAGACATTTGACAGATCTGTTAGCTCTTTTGTGGAAAAACATAGTGATAGGTCTATAGAAAACTAAACAAATAAAAAACAGGGCAACCGTTAACTCCAGAATAAAACAACAATGTTGAAGAAAACATAACCCATAATATACTACTTGGATCAACATTTATTCATTCCACAAATATTGAGTGCGGTTAGCTCCGTGCTGTGGTTGCAATAACAAAATAGATCAAATCTCTGTTTTCAAGGGGTTTACATTTTAGTGGATGGACATAGATACCAAAAGAAGATAGAAAGAATCAGTTTGTAATACCAGATAATGATTCATACTTTAAAGAAAATTTACAAGTATACATGGATTGAAAAGTATACATGGGGCAGGCCTGCTATTTTATATAGTGAGTAGGGGAATAAAGTGACATTTTAACAGGAGACCCGAGTAAAGTGAAGGAGAGAACTGTCGGTATCTGTGGGAACTCCATTCTAGAAAGAACAGATAGTGCACAGTCTTGAAGCACAAATGGATTATACTCAACTGTTTGAAGGAATGGAAGTGATCCAATGTGGCAGGGGAAGAATGCTGGGAGAGATCAAAGAGGTGGCCCAGGACTAGATCATATAGGACCTTACTGGGCCAGGTAAGGACTTTGGACTTACAGAGCCATAATAATGAAACTAATGATTAAACAAATGAGTATACTGTAACCATGACAATGAAGAGGTGAAGAGGAGGCAAAGGTTGTTAAGAGAGCACTAGGAAATTGGTAGAGATTGCTCGAACATGATAAATTAACAAATGGCAGCATGCACAAACTACTAGCATTATGGAAGTAAATACCAGAGGAAACAGCTGAGACAGTTCAAAGTGGCTTCACTAGGCAAGGGATGGAGCATGGAACTGTTGCATTTCATCATAAGCCTTTAATACTATTTCATTTTTTGAAAACTATAAGCATTTTTTTTAAACCTGTGCAAGTTCTTGATGAAGGATAGGACCCTCAACTGTCAGTGTGTAAGAAGTGAAACAGCCCTGACAATCTAGCCAGTGATTGAAGGATGGATCAATGCACAGGGTTGGAATAGGCTGTGCAGATGATAGTGGTCTTTTCTAGCTCACTCTGTCTGTTTTGTGTTGCTATAACAGAATACCACAGCCTGGGTAATTTTTAAAGAGCAGAAATTCATTTCTCACAGTGCTGGAGGCTGGGAAGTCCAAGACCGAGGTGCTGGCATCTGCTGTCTGGTGAGGGCTGCATCCTCACATGGCAGAAGGAGGAAGGGCAAAAAGGGGAACCAAGTCCCTCTGCCAAGCTCCTTTGTAAGGACACCTCATCTTACTCGTGAGGGAGGAGCTTTCATGGCCTAATCACCTCTTAAAGTCCCCTCCTTTTAATACTATCACATTGGCAACACCTGGATTTTGGAGGGGATGCATTCAGACTATAACAATCAACAACTGCTATTTTTCTCCCACCCTACATATTCTTTAAGTCACCTCCCAGGCCACAGAAGAAAACAATCATTTTTCTTCTGAACAAATACTAACAGACATAATTTTGATCCTACAGTCTCATGCTTCTGTATGTGGAATAAAAGCAATTCATTCCTGAAATCTTTTTTAGAATAAGGTGATGGTTATATAATTATTTTGATTTTTACAAAATTTGAGTCATAGTGGGCTGGCCCGGTGGTGCACTGCTACGGTGCGCCACTTGGGAGCGCGGTGGCGCTCCCGCCGAGGGTTTGGATCCCACATACAGACCGGTTCCCGCTCACTGGCTGAGCGAGGGGCGGGCGCAGCGCCGAGGGTTGCGATCCCGTTGCCAGTCCCGGTCCTGTACGGGCACGACACTGAGGGTTGCAGTCCGTTGCCGGACACGAAAAAAAAAAAAGACAAAAAAAAAGGAAAAAATATATATATATATTTATTTTGATTTTTACAAAATTTGAGTCATAGTGGGCTGGCCCGGTGGTGCACTGCTACGGTGCGCCACTTGGGAGCGCGGTGGCGCTCCCGCCGAGGGTTTGGATCCCACATACAGACCGGTTCCCGCTCACTGGCTGAGCGAGGGGCGGGCGCAGCGCCGAGGGTTGCGATCCCGTTGCCAGTCCCGGTCCTGTACGGGCACGACACTGAGGGTTGCAGTCCGTTGCCGGACACGAAAAAAAAAAGACAAAAAAAAAAAAAAAATTTGAGTCATAGTGACCATATTCATTTGGATTTAAGTGCCACACCAAAACACTTTATTTTTAAAATTATTTTCAAATTATATGAAAATGATATCATACTTCCACTTGTACACCTCTAATTATGGTGAGATTTATTATTAATTTGTATTATTTTTTGAATCATTTGTTCATGTCTTTTGCCCATCCTTCTTGGTCTTTTCTTGTTAATTTGTAAAGGCTCTCTAATGTAATAGCAATTTACCATATAGCTGCTACGCACATTTTTTCTGGTTTGTTGTTTGCCTTTTGATGTTGTTGATATTAAAAATGCTTATGTAGTTGATTGTTTGGGGGGTTTTTTGGTTTTTTTTAGTTCCCTCCTTTACATTTATGCTTAGGAAGTTTTCTCTACTCTGAGATCAATAAATATTTACCTGTCCTCCTCTTTCCCCACACCAGTGTTTTTATTTTACCCACATTCTAAAAGCCTTACGGCCAGTGGTATTCTCTTGGTCAAGTAACTCACCTAACAGACAAAACTTCAGTGACATAACATACAGGCTTTATTTGTATAAGAATGAGGCTGGCTGGTTAATTCAGTTGGTTAGAGTACAGCCTTACAACACCAAGGGCACCAAGTTTGGATCCCCGTACTGACCAGCCACCACAAACAAAGAATGAGTTGTTCCTTCTTAATGTGGCTTATAATTTGGAATCTTTGGGTATGTATTGTGTTTCCTGCCAAAAATATACATTTATATGTTTTCTTCACTCAGCCACCTAACAGATGTCCCCTAATTTTTTAGGTGTCCTAAAACCCTGATGGCGAACTTCAAGGGCCACGCTCTCCCAGGGAGTTTCTTCTTGATAGTTGGACTATGGTGGTCTGTGAAGTACCCACTGAAGTACTTTCACCAAAAGGGGAAGAAGAGCCGACTGAATCATCATCATCAGCGTCTCGAGATCATTGAAGCTGCAATCAGGACTTTGTTTTCAGTCATTGGTAAGAGTGAGCTCGTTTGGTCCAGGAAATCTCCCCTTCACACCCAAAACTTTAATCTCCGTTTTGGGCTCTGTGAGACAGATGTTTCCACTGGCAGAGATAACAGGACAAGGATTTCCAGTTGGCCAGTAGGCTGTTTTATCATAATACCCATTATGTGCAGCACTTTATAATATTAATAGCTAATAGCATCTTATATCATAGTGCACTATGAAAAACTATCAAACTATATATATATATATATTTTTTTTTTTTTTTTTTTTTTTTTTTTTT